GTGTGAATGTCCAGGTGTATCAGAGAGGGTGTGAATGTCCAGGTGTATCAAAGAGGATGTGAATGTCCAGGTATATCAGAGAGGGTATGAATGTCCAGGTGTATCAGAGAGGGTGTGAATGTCCAGGTGTATCAGAGAGGATGTGAATGTCCAGATGTATCAGAGAGGGTGTGAATGTCCAGGTATATCAGAGAGGTTGTGAATGTCCAGGTGTATTAGAGAGGGTGCGAATGTCCAGGTGTGTCAGAGAGGATGTGAATGTCCAGGTGTGTCAGAGAGGGTGTGAATGTCCAGGTGTGTCAGAGAGGGTGTGAATGTCCAGGTGTGTCAGAGAGGTTGTGAATGTCCAGCCGTATCAGATAGGGTGTTAATATCCAGGTGATTCGGAGAGGGTGTGAATGTCTCGGTATATCAGGGAGGTTGTGAATGTCCTAGAGGCAGAGAGGGTGTGAATCTCCAGGTGTGTCGGAGAGGTTGTGAATGCCCAGGTGTATCAGAGACGATATGAATGTCCAGGTGTGTCAGAGAGGGTGTGGATGTCCAGGTGTGTTGGAGAGGGTGTGAATGTCCAGGTGTATCAGAGAAGAGGTGAATGTCCAGGTGTATCAGAGAGGATGTGAATGTCAAGGTGTATCAGAGAAGGTGTGAATGTCCAGGTATGTGAGAGGGGATGTGAATGTCCAGGTATATCAGAGAGGGTATGAATGTCCAGGTGTATCAGAGAGGGTGTGAATGTCCAGATGTATCAGAGAGGATGTGAATGTCCAGGTATATCAGGGAGGGTATGAATGTCCAGGTGTATCAGAGAGGATGTGAATGTCCAGGTGTGTCAGAGAGGGTGTGAATGTCCAGGTGTGTCAGAGAGGGTGTGAATGTCCAGGTGTGTCAGAGAGGTTGTGAATGTCCAGCCGTATCAGATAGGGTGTTAATATCCAGGTGATTCGGAGAGGATGTGAATGTCCTAGAGGCAGAGAGGGTGTGAATGTCCAGGTGTATCAGAGAGGATGTGAATGTCCAGGTGTATCAGAGAAGAGGTGAATGTCCAGGTGTATCAGAGAGGGTGTGAATGTCTAGGTGTATCAGAGAAGGTGTGAATGTCCAGGTATGTGAGAGGGGATGTGAATGTCCAGGTGTGTCAGAGAGGGTGTGAATGGCCAGGTATATCCGAGACAGGATGTGAATGTCCAGGTGTATCAGAGACAGGATGTGAATGTCAAGGGGTATCAGAGAGGATGTGAATGTCCAGGTATATCATAGAGGATGTGAATGTCAAGGTGTATCAGAGAGGGTGTGAATGTCAAGATGTAGCAGAGAGGATGTAAATGTCCAGGGTATCAGATGGGATGTGAATGTCAAGGTGTATCAGAGAAGGTGTGAATGTCCAGGTATGTGAGAGGGGATGTGAATGTCCAGGTGTGTCAGACAAGGTGTGAATTGCCAGGTGTATCAGAAAGGGTGTGAATGTCCAGGTGTATCAGAAAGAGTGTGAATGTACTAGAGGCAGAGAGGGTGTGAATGTCCAGGTGTATCAGAGAGGATGTGGATGTCCAGGTGTATCAGAGGGGACGTGAATGTCCAGGTATATCAGAGAGGTTGTGAATGTCCTAGAGGCAGAGAGGGTGTGAATGTCCAGGTGTATCAGAGAGGATGTGAATGTCCAGGTGTATCAGAGAGGGTGTGAATGTCCAGATGTATCAGAGAGGATGTGAATGTCCAGGTGTATCAGAGACAGGATGTGAATGTCAAGGTGTATCAGATAATGTGTGAATGTCCAGGTGTATCAGAGAGGGTGAGAATATCCAGGTATATCAGATAGGATGTGAATGTCCAGGTGTATCAGAGAGTATGTGAATGTCCAGGGTATCAGATGGGATGTGAATGTCAAGGTGTGTTCAGAGAGGGTGTGAATATCCAGGTGTATCAGAGAGGCTGTGAGTGTCCAGATGTGTCAGAGAGGGTGTGAATGTCCAGGATTATCATAGTGTTGTGAATATGCAGGTGTATTAGAGAGGGTGTGAATATCGAGGTCTGTCAGAGAGGCTGTGCATTTCCATTTGTAACAGAGAGAGTGTGAATGTCAAGGTGAATCAGAGAGGGCATGAGTTTGTTTGTTGTTTGAGTTCGTTATAACCGTTGTTTACTGCATGTGTGTGTGTGTGTGTGTGAGTGTGTGTGTGTGTGTGTGTGTGTGTGTGTGTGCGTGCGTGCGTGCGTGTGCGTGTGCGTTTATTCCTAATGACATATAATACTTATAATAAAATATTTATTCATAATATATATATATTTGGAAAGCTTATTTGTATTCTTATTATATGATATTTACGATACGGAAACAAGAGGGTAATACTCTTGTTATCATATTTTGTAATTCTGACATTAATTGATGTTTAAGACGTAATTTACTCAACGAAGTAGCTTCGGAAACCTTGTGTGAATACAATGATTGAGTGAACTGCCCCATGTATCAAATAGTGCCAAATGATTTGCAGCCAGCTAGGTTTGTCAAGACTCGCCCACGTCATGAAACCCCTTTCCACACTAATCGGAAACGACAGTCAACATTTCATTTGGAAAGAAGACATTGCATCTGTGAATGAAGCTGGAAAGCCGTTCATATACTTGGTGACTTCACTAGCAGTGTTATCGGATTATGATACCAAAACTTTATGAGACTGGTTCATCTCATTAATATCTGCTACTATATAATAAAGTGATCTATCCTTAGGCCAAGAAATGTAAACAATGTTTTCATAAAATAACATATAGATCTGAAAATTACACACCCTTTGTTTGTTTGTTTGTTGTTTAACGCCGAAGTCAGCAATATTCCAGCTATATGACGGCAGTCTGTGAATAATCGAGTCTGGATCAGACAATCCAGTTATTGACATCGTGAGCATCGATCCACGCAATTGGGATACGTTGACATGCATCAACCAGGTCTGCGAGCCTGACCACCCGATCCCGTTAGTCGCCCTTACCGCAAGCATGGGTTGCTGAAGACCTATTCTAACCCGGATCTTCACGGGTCACACACACACACACACACACACACACACGCGCGCGCGCGCATAAATTATATATACCAACGTTTCAGATAACCAACTGTAAATCGGGTACCGGTTTCGTTTTTCTTTTCGTTAACGCCGTACACAGCAAGTTAATGGACTCTTGACCACACGAACCAGGGACTGATCAACGGCTCATGGCGACGGGTACAAAGACACGCAAAAATAGCAGCTACAAGACATGTTGTCACACCATGGCCATGCAGGATACTACAGTAAACTACGGTTATAACGAACTCAGAGGGACCACTAATTTTAGTTCGTTATAACCGTAGTGCGTTATAAGCATATATACAGCATAACTACAGCAAATAGTCGTGACAAAAAAGTAAGTTCGTTACATCCGTCAGTTCGTTATAAGCGTGTTCGTCAAAACGTTGTTTACTGTATATAAAAGGATGTTATACTGCATGGCACTAAGCAGAACTAAAGGGAATAGCAACAGACCTACACAGGCCCAAACTGAAAAAAAACACACCAAAAAACCTTAATCCTTACAGACTTACTGTGTGGGCTCCAGGCAATAAAAACTAAAAACACAGCAATAAAAACGTCCAAGGCTAATACTTCAGATACTTAAAAGCGCTAACAATCTCATCGAACATGGCAAAGAGATAGAGCTGATATGGATCCCTTCCAACGCTGGTGGGTATGGCAACGAACACGCCGACAAATCAGCACTAAAATTAGAGGAAATAAGCGTTTAACTTACCAATATCTAAAAAAGAAATTTAAAATATCACTAAGGATAAAATCTTCCAAAAGTGGCACATCAAATATCAGAAATCAAACTGCAAATTAAAACACTTGCTACAAAAGTCACTCAAAAAAATAATCTATCACAGAACCACGGACGTATATACAATACGTCTTTGACAGAAGCAAAAGAATTGATAGGGCAATAACCAAACTTCAAACAGGCCCCACTAAATTGAACTCACACCTACACCATATAAATATTAAAAAGAAAAAACCCATCAAACTGGTCAATGCCCACATTGTTACCTAACAGAAACACACGAACACTTGTTACAACATTGCACACACTACCAACAACCAGAGACCATAATAGATCTATTATATGGTCTCTGCAACAACATAGACCAACACTTAAAACTACACTAAACCACAACAACCAGTTGACACTTCCAAATCTTCTAAATCCATTAAATAACTTACAAACAAATAAGGCACTAGGTATAAATATCTTATCAAAACAGGTCTACTCGGTCGCATCTAAAATAATCCAACAATCAGATGAATCTACAAATAAAAAAATCCTAAATCTATAAACACTGAAAACCACACAAACTCCCCTAGTCCGCCAACCTTTTGGTATGGCATCTTTCAAAATTCCAAAATTTCCACCAAAAATGATTAAGCAACCCTAAAACCCCTTCTGGTTACCTCCGTTTCGAAAATCCCCCTTTCGACCACCTCACGAAATGGCCTGGCGGGCCCGTGTGCGAAAAATGCTCATGTCGGAAAGCGCACGTTAAATCTCCAACAGTAAGTTCGCCTGACCCTGGGTGTGACAATATATCTTGTAGCTGCTATTTTTGCGTTACAAGCCCCTGTGCAGGCAATCAACCAAGTCACCGAGACTGACCTCCCAATGTGTCGTTCGGAGGCTATAGGTTTATGTTCTTGGACCATCAGTTAAAGTATGAGTCGTGTGGAAATAGAAGCTCAAAGCGTGTACAATTTAGAGAATTTGGTAAGTGATTCAGTGGTCTTGACAACCCTGGTCATTTTCTAAGAGAAACGATGTTCCCGCGATGCGAGCATATCGTCCAAACACGACTTAGGGGATTCCCCTTACATTCGGAGTGGCGAAATATGACACAGTTATTACTGTAAACAAAATCGTGAAAGTGCCCGATTTGTTCCGAATGTCGTTTTCGCAATTAACGTGCGCATATGTGTTGCGCAGTTCATCATGGCGGCCAGTACAAACTGAGAGACATGTCAGCACAAGTTTCCTGTTGTATTTGACGGGAGCTTCGGGATATATTCGGTGTCAAGTTTTCATCCCACTGTTGTGATAAGACGATTGAAGGTGAGATAGATTAAATTTGAGGATACTGTTCATTGAGACGGTTGAATCAACTGAAGTCAGGAATGGTTCCTGGAATTATTCTTAGAGTTGCAGATCGGCGTTCTTCAACTTGCGTGTCACTTCCAATGTAGTGTGACTGTTGGCAGATTTCGCACGAGTCTCGTGACGAGACGTTGACATTTATGCCATCGGGATGTTGTTTTTTCTGTGATTATAAATTCGTCACTTTTTTGCAATATGAAAATGATAAATGTCAGTTCGCGGTTAATGAGTAGTGGTTACCATGTTACTAAATTAGTAATCTGCATATCAGCAATCAAAAGTATCTATATTGATTGATAATATACAATTCGATCATAGTGACTCAAAACTGCCACTTGTGATTTAGCCTTACCATTTTAATAGTAATTATTTAATATGATTATTTTCAGTACAGACATTTGTTCTGGTGATATTTTCTGCTTTGATATTTTAACCAAGGGACCCCTATTTGTTAACATAAGGTTGTCCTTAGTATAAACACTGAGCTTGCTGCTATTAGATCTTGGAACCCTCTTAAGCTTTTAACGTTTGATTTATGACAAGGATCCCTTGAAATTCTACCATGTTCAGTTTCAATACATCTGATTTAGCCATTTTTACCTTGTTTTAATAATATGAAGTAAGGTTTCAAATCTGTGTATTTTCTAGGACATGGTCTGATTGTCATCCAAGATGTCCTCATGGGCGCCGGATACAGCTTTTTTTGAAAAGGGGGGGTGCATCTGTATCCGCCCATGGTCCTTAACATTTTCCTTCCAATTTAGCTATGAATGCCCCATCTAAAGTTCATAAAATCTAGAGCAAAATGACTGTAACAAATGTAATTCTATTATCAAAGCTTACTTGACGGAATATAGTCATGTCGTGGCTAAAGTCACAGCCATGGATGGTGCAGTTATGCTTCAAGTGAAATTATGTTAGCAAGTAAATCATGTAAATAGTCATCAATTATATATCAAAGGTTGGTCAGTGGTAGCTATGGTTAGTTTTCTTGTGCTGATTGTGAGATATATTCATGAAATAGTCGGATTGTTTTTTTGTTGATCCAACAATCCAAATTCTAAAACTATTTTCTTGAGAATAAATTAAAACTTTTTTGTTAATCTTGTGGTTTATCATGGTTAGAGAATGGTTTACATAGTTGTTGATGATGATGATGTTGTAGATTTAACGAGTGCTACCGGTGTTACAGGGCGGTCGAGTAGCCTAGGGGTTAAAGCGTTCACTTGTCACGCTGAAGACCCTGGTTCGATTCCCGACATTGGTACAATGTGTGAAGCCCATTTCTGGTGTCCCCGCCGTGTTATTGCTGGAATATTGCTAAACCATACTCACTCACTCACTCAGGTGTTACATAGTTACCATATTCTTAGTAAAAATCTTAAATGTTTCGATTGTTTCTTCTAGTTTGACAAGTTGATGAATACATTAACCTTTAGTCTATAGTGCTACTGCCAGTTTCTAACCTCAGTCAGTATATTGATTTATGTACAGGATATACGATTATATTGTCACTGTGTAAAACAATCAACTCACACCTTGCCAGTGATAGAAATGTTTATCAAGCTGTCAGTCATGTTATTTACAAGCAGACCTTTATGGTTCCTTCCCTGTCACCACAGGTTGTGCAGTCTGCCATAACAAAATACACAGGAGATTCAGGATATACTCTTGACTTTGGTCACTGTTTATCAATGATGCAAGACACCCTTCCAAAACCAGCACACACAATTACGTTTTTAATTCTACACCTTAATTGACCTCATGCATAATTACTGAATATCCTTAGTGTTGACTATTTTCTTTTGGGTCATAGAACATGTACGAGTAGACGTTAAAACGTACAATTTTTGTCAAAGTTTAATGTTAAAAGATATGTAAGATTTGTTTGGACACCAATCAAGATTACCATGTAATAGATAGTAGATAACTGGTCGATTATGATACAGTAAAACGACAGTAACCTTATCATGCTTAAGGTTTGTAAAATATATAGATTGGACATGCTTCCAAATACCAGTAGCTCACCTCATCACATGTTGTTCCTGTCAGTTAGTTTCCCATTATTTTGCATGATTCGGACCCGTGAAGATCCGGGGTAGAATAGGTCTTCAAGAACCCATGCTTGTCATAAAAGGTGACTATGCTTGTTGTAAGAGACGACTAACGGGATCGGCTGGTCAGGCTCGCTGACTTGGTTGATGCATGTCATTGATCCCAATTGCATGGATTGATGTTCATGATATTAATCACTGGACTGTCTGGTCCAGACTTGATTATTTTCAGACCGCCGTCATATAGCTGGAATATTGCTGAGTTTGGCATTAAACAACAAACAAAACAAAACTTGATTCTAAATTTGAAAGACCAAAATTTTGTGCATGCATGCATGTGTTTTTATTCACTGTACTTTTGTCCAGTAAGATCAGTTCATATTAGTATTTATCTCAGTGTGTGTAAAATTTACTGTAAACATGGTAAATAGGGCCAAGATTCAGACTAACGTAGTCAGTAGCCGTGAATGGTTTGGCACAGACAAGAGTACACATGATTGATAACACAGAGCACCAGATACAGTCTTGAGCAATTGAGTTTTCACTCCAGGGTTCCTATTATAATTGGGTTATTACATTTTTCAATGGGTAACCAATATTTTTTCACTCCTCTATTCATCACTCTATTGGTTTTTTTCCAAAATTTGTGAACATTTCAAGATTTAAACAAAATTAAATAATGTTTTAGATGTATATAACTGTTCTCAATATATAGGCTTAACTTGGAAAGTAAATTAGCTCGTAATTGTGTTGCGGAAATTAGCTCCGTTGTACGCATGCTGAAAAAGCTTCATTGGGTATTTACGCATGCTGTTTTTATACATTTGAGTTTTTCATATAATGCATGACTTTCTGCACGCAAGTTAATTGAAAATAATTGGGTTTTGAATATTTTTGGGGGGTATTTTACGCAAATAAGCAGCTTTTCTGTAGCTCTGGATACATATATAAATTGCATTCATGATTATTTATTTCAGCTGTCTACATTAACATCTAAACATGCTAAAGAAAACAGTTATATATAAACATGATAAATAAACAATGAACTTGAGCCTAGACCATTCAACTATATTATTAATTTAGCCTGTCCCAATCAACATGTGTCAGTGTTCATAATTACAAGTCTAGCGTGTTGCTATATTCCTGTTAAAGACAGCACATGGAAATATATGTCCCAGTCATCATGTCTCAGTCAACAAGGTCTCTATGTCTGCCAGCCCTTGTGCAAACACACAGGTCAATTTCAGTTGATAAGCACAAGCTGGGATTGGTCATCAGGTTGGTCATTGTACTGCGCACAAAAGATCTAATTGACCAGTTACCTGTGTTAATAACACACTTTGCCTGACTGCTTGCCAAACAGTTGTAAACTAATATATGCTTTGGCTGCGTTTCAAGTCTTCTGTTCCTGATTTTGATTTGTTTGGAGGAAGCTTGCAGGAATCATAGGTCTATATATGTATTGATGCTCTAGGTATGTTGAAAACAACTGTAATATATGTATAGTCATGTGATCACAGAAAAGAGCATATTACATTTCTCTGACTTAGGTTTGTTTTACTTAAACATTTGTGCAACCTATAACTTGAAAACTACGGAATGGATTCTTAGAAAATATGAATTTTTTCATGTGTTGAACATAGAATTTTTTGTAATTCATCATTTGTGCAACCTGTAACTTGAAAACTACTTCATGAATTTTGTCTATTTGGGGGTACAGTTTCTATACCAATTAGGAGAGGTGTACTGCAAAGTTTGATTTTCTGAGAAAATATTACATTTTTCATGTTTTGAAGTTGAACTTAGAAATATGTTGGAGTCGAAGTCAGGGGTATTCCTTGTTTCTATAGTAGCAGGGGGGCACAGATGGCCCAGTCATCTAGGGCTCAACAAATTTGCCGCAATTTGCTGTGTCCCTTGCGCATGCCAGAAACCTTTGGTGGTTCAAATCCCGGTTCTTCCCAATGGTGTTTGTAGGTTTGTCAGCACCGTACCTGTGCTTGTGGATTTCGTCAAAGTGATACATGTTTGAGACCTGCACAGCATTAACAATTGGCACTTGTCCTATAGTCCTTGCCAAACTGCCCAATAGTTAAGGTATCCAAGGTACTCACTAACTCACTGTATGCAGGGATTATCTAGGATGCTAGACTATGTGCCTTTGGCAGGCAAATTTTGGGAAAAATCATGATATTATTTGAAAGTGGTTATTTTAATGTTTTATCTTTGTAAATTCTTAGGAATTGGGAATTTTTTTAATTGTAATTGGGAATTTTTATGTCATTTTCTGCAGACCTGGGGCCGAATATCAGCCTCTGAGCAGGTCTATATAAATCCCCCCTATGATAGCAAAAGATTATGATCTCATAACTGGCCTCATACAATATGTACAATGTCTTTTATTGAACGTATCAGTCATAGCCAGCGTAGCTGAAGGAGTTGTGTAGCACTATAAATTATATAGAAATGTACCCCAGGTACACTGATAGTGTAGCGTAGATGTTAACTACTGACGTTCATGTTGTCATTGATCAGCTGTCAACAGGCCATGGATACTTCCAATACATCAATACATGCACTTTGATCAGTCGTTACACTCCCAGTCCCAGTCTTTGGATCTGCTGATGTTTGTCACACCCTGCCAGCCCGTTTGTGTTTACATGGAAGAAGAGCAACAATCTGGGACAAATATGACTGAAGAGCAGGACTGTGACACACAGTACAGGATAGGCTGATAGTCAACCCTAGTCCGCAGCAAATGTCATAGTCTGTCTTACAGACCCTGATACAAATATATTTAAAAAATTAGCCCATGCAAGTCTATAATGTTTGGCAAGTCTAGATTACTGCAAATGAAGAGGGTCACTGGGCTCCCTTTTATTATATTTTTATTAAGATAACTGA